TTAATAATTCTGTATACATCAATTTTCTAAAAAATTATAAAAAAATAAATCATTATAAAATATATAGAATTATGATATAGAATTATCAATTAAGTACATAAATCTTATAAAAAACGTATCATTTCCTTATTTCGATTTCTTATAGGGTAAGGGTACAGCAGTTAGATATTTATTAAAACTAGGCGAGCTGAAAAATAATCACAGGTATAAAGCAACTGATATATACTGGAGCTTGTATTTTTATAAGATAAAAAAAGTTGTTATTGGGAAGAACCCACTACAACCAGTCTTATATTATCTTAAAGATGGACCTATTAAATCAACTGCTTATCCAATAGAGTGAAATCCTAAAAAACCTTTCAAATTTGAGAAATTTCAATTAATAGAGGAATCTGATAAAATCAAGTATACATCTGATGAGTTTATGTAGAAATACCACCCTACTGGATTTATCCATTATGTTTATACTTCTAGTAATAAGTCAGTTCAGGCTGTAAAATATATCATGAAGCATGGTAATAAATGTCTTAAAAAGATTGGGCAAATAAATAATCATGATATATATCTTTAGTCTTGCGAAAATAGTACACATCAATGGGAGTATCCATTAAAGTATATCATGAAGAAGTTTAAATGGTGTTTTCTATGTAATCATTAAAAATGGTTCTCATAATTATTTTAAAATTTTTAACTAGTTGCAACTATTTATGAATTTTTATATTAAAATAAATTTACAAGGAGTTGCAACCAAATTGCAACACAAGTTGCAACTTACTGAGTTGTAATTTCTTAATTATAGTGCCTATCTTTAGTTATCATACTAGCGAAAGAACTTGCCAATACATTTTTAAGGATTTGTTAGGCAAGAAATTCTCACTATATAAGGTTAAGTTCCTGGATAGGCTAAACTTAGATGAATATAATGAGGAATTACGTCTTGCATTCAAATTTCAGGGTTCTCAACACTATTATCTTAATTCAATATTTCATAGGAGAGGGAAAATAGATTTGGATGAGCAGAGAATACATGATAAAAAAAAGCAAGACATATGTAAGCAAGAAGGTATATGTTTTATTGAAGTGTTATATACATGTGACTTTTTCCCTTACATTAAGCATATGCTAATTAAGAAAGGATTTTTGAACGAAGCGAGAGATTAAAAAATTCTTCTTGAGAAATTTCAGCATAATATGCAATACTATATGGAATTCTTTGTGTATAACATTGATGAGATTTCTATAAAATCTTTGAAGCGAATGAAGGAAATACATATAGTCCAGACTGGCCTTTTCACTTTTTAGTAACTGAAGGTTCACATAGCGAAAAAGGTAAGAAGGGAATAGATATATAAAAATGATGATCTCATATTAGTTGAAAAGCAAGTTGAGCCTAAATGAAAGCTGGTAAAATATGCTATTTATATTTTTGCAAATAGTCTTGAGCTATATCAGAAGAATATCTCATTTCAAAGAATAAAGGCAAAAAAGATTCCAGATATAAGCAAATTCTTTTACCTAAAAAAAGCACTGTTGTTATTTTTAAAGATCTCTATACTGAATCAAAAATTACAAGAACAGATTATTCCTTACTTTATTAGTGAACAGCATCAAAATATCTCATCAATATATATAACCCAAAAATATCAAGCTGTACCAAAAATAATTCGTGAAAATATTTCACATCTAGTCATATTCTGAGGAAGTGAAAGTTGAGATGATATCTAAAGAGTTGTACGACAATATATAGATAATCTAAAAAAAGCATCCAAGATTATTGACGAGATCAGAATTTTGTAATCTTTGATTTTATTAAAGCAACTGATGATCCATTAGCGATAAGACTCAGTTGGAATATAACCCTCATATTGCATAAGTAAAATTCACCTTCACAGATACTAGCTTTTTTCTATCTCCTGTATCTACATCTTCAGATTCTCGACCTTATAGCATAATTTCTTATTTGCACTAACCCTTTCTCTATAATCATTATCTATGTCTTATATCATTTTCCCAAAAGTCTTTCTATTATAGTCAAGCAGATGTTGAGATAAAACTTTAAGTTCATTCATAACTCGATGATTATTTTCTTTCTCATGATGATACTATCAGTTTGAACCTTACCATTTAAAATATAAACATATGGTAATGCTAGAAATACATTACATTTTGGCCAACTTTAAGGACATAGTAATTTTTTCTGAGTTATATTTTTGCGTTTCCTATTTAATGAATTCTTATAAACCTCTAATGTGTGTTTTAAATAAGATTCAATTCGTTTGGACTTTTTAGAAATAGATTCTAATGGAATAGGATCTTTAGAATAGTGTAAAAGTTTCTTGCACGCTCTCTTAACAAGACTTTCAAATAATCTATTAATAATATATTTATAGTCAGAATGGAACATTTTATTAAATATAATTTCACACAAAAAATATTTGCGTACAAAAAATATATCTATTAAGCCATAGCAATAAAATGTTTATTTTACTAATAAATTTATGCGTCAGTTTCATAACACATCTGGCAGATCAGCTAGAAATATTAGTTCTGATCAAGAATTTCACGTGATATCCTGATCATTGGTCATAACTTTTGCCAAAAAAATTCACATGATTTGGGCTATCTAGGGACACTGAAATTTTATCAAGAAAAAATAATAGAGATTATGATGTTCACTAAATTTTCAGGATAGCCTGTTGCTAGCAAAAAATTGCTAAGAAAATTTTATTATCCAATATATGCTATACACAAAAAAACATAAATATTTATTTACATCATCAGGGTCACTTTAATAATACAGTAATATAAATAAATACAAAGATTCAGAGAACTTGCCTGTAATATATGACATTTTTATGATAAATTATATGGAAAATATTTACACTAACTATTTATTATATAGGGATATGGAAACAGTAAGACTTGGATTAACATTTCAGGGCAGATGAGAGGTGGCTTATTCTAATACCTGTATTTATACATGAAGTCGAAATGAAAACCCAAAAGTTGAAATGTTTCGACTTTGGAGGTCAAAGTCAAAATGAAAAGT